CTCCAGCAACTTGTTCTCAGGATTCATGGTGTCAGATGGCAGCGGGAGTTCGGTGTGTGAATGTCTCTCTGATCCGGTCAGCCTTTCTGATCAGAGAGTGCACGGGCACCTTTTTATAAAGCCGGAGGAATGGATAAAAACGGCTGATGTCAGAGGGACAGCGGCGAATTCCGCTCCTGGTGAAGTGGAAACATCGCCTCCAGCTTTGAGGTCAGGGCTGCCCCAAACACAGTCTCGGGCCATCACTTCCTCTCTTTGTCTCTCCCCACCGCTGACAGGCAAATTCCCCAGGCCGAGGGCATCCTCTTCCAGGCTGTTGGCATGTCCGATTCACACACTCATAGACACACACTCACTTACTGACACACACACGTACACATCGAAACAGACGCAGAAACACACACACACACACATATACACACACAGACACACACATCCACACACACTCTCCCAGACACTCACTGAAACACACGTACACACTGACATACACACGAAAATGCACACAGACGCACTCAGAAACATACACATACATACACAGACATACACACAAATACACACACATACGCGCACACACACAGAAACACAGACGCACTCTTTCACACACACATATGTTGCAAAGTGGGTGCAGTACTTGTGGATTGGAAGGCAGGACGTTAGAATTTGTAAAATGATGGGGGGAGGAATGCGTGGTCCCTTTAAAAAGTGCGTTTTTTAAGGCTTGGATATTTTAAAAAAATGTCTGCAGGCAGCAGCAGATGCACAGAGAGTTCTTGAAATTGAAGCAATCAAAAAGCTATACTGTTAGCAGGCAAATCAGCATTTTTACCAAGACAACAGGTTTAACCAATTAATTTAAACCAGGCCCTAGATACCAAAACCCAATTAAATTTAAATCTGATGGTTTTGACAACTTTGGACCAATTCTATTGTAAGAAATTAAAAGGTCATCAAGGATATAAAAGAAGAGGGCATTTGAAAATCAGTGTGAGACCAAATTGCCATCTGTTAAGACAATAACTTTCAACAGCCATCAGCTCTAAAGAAAGAGAAAATCACCAGCTCTCACAGAAATCTCTAAGATCTCAGAGTAACCACCATCTAAATAATGGTACTATGGCATTCTCAGCTAGTATTCCTGACACAAGAATTCGACAGAGCAAAGTGTTCCTGAATGGAAAACAGTGGAGAAGGCAAAGAACATTCTGGAAGACTTATCCTGACTGTAATTTCAAGAGACTACATTCTACTTTTTTTTGATTACTTTGGTTTAAATAAGTGAGACTTGTATTTAATGGAACAGCATATCATTAGAATTGTGTTTTATTTGGGAATAGTTAGTAGTTTAAGGGTGAATTGTTCAGTTTGTTAGTAGATCTGTTAGTTTGTTCACTGTTAGAGTTAGATAAATATATTTTTACATGTTGCTTAGGAAGTGAGTATCAGGGATTTCTTTCATTTGACCACTTCTTTATAACAATTTGGGGGTGAGAGGCCGATTTTACTACTTTTCATACTTCCTTTAATAGATTACAAGGTGAGGTGAGCTTCTTTGCGTGCTTCAGTTTTAATTATCAGAGAGGTATCGACCACCCCTCCGTAACACACACACACATACACGCGTACAAACACACACGTACAAACACACATGTGCGAACACACAGACAGAGAAACACAGACATGTGCACATGCGCGCGCGCGCGCGCACACACACACATACACACACACACACACAGACTGTTACATTGTCAAAGTCCTTGTCATTTTCAAACACCAGTGATTGACTGAAGAATACAACCATGGGAAGAGCCTAGGGAACCAGGCTGCTTTTATACTGGGACCTGACTGGAATTATAATCCGATCCACAGGTCCCCAATGTGGATCTATGCCACATCTCATCCATACACTTTACATGTGCTTCACTGACTTGGAACTGTCTCCCTCCCTGGTTTCACAGCCCCTCACAGCCAGAGAGATGGGCTGAGAGCAGATTGAAAGAGGGACCTGCTCATCATCAGTCAGTGTCTCCCTAAGGCCCCTCTCCCAGAGTCTCCCTGTTCCACACTCACAGCCCAATCTCCGTTTGTCATTCATGGTTTCTCTTCCCGTTTCTCTTATTTTCAATCACTGGTCCCCACCACGTTCTCTGTCATTTTTGCATAGTTTCTCTCTGTTCCTCCCCTAGTTTCTCTCTGTTCTCCAGTCTCAGTTTCTCACTGTCTCTCTTCCAGTTTCATTCTGTTCTCCTGCTCCAAGTTTCTCTCCATTGTCCTGCTCCCGCTTTCTCTCTGTTCCTCTCCCAGTTTCTTTTACTTCCTGCTTCCAGTTTCTCTCTGTTCTCTCTGTAGACTAAAGGGATGGGGGGAGGGGAGGTGGTGTGTAAGCTGGGGGGAGTGGGGGAGGGGGTGTGTAGACTGAGAGAGGTGGGGATGATATGTAAACAGCGGTGGGGGTTGAAGGAGTGGATAGTGTGTAGACTGAGAGGGGAGGGGCATGTGGGAAGACTGAGGTTGGTGGGGGTTGGAGGGGAGTAGTGAGTAGACTGAGGGAGTGGGGACAGTATGTAGACGGGGGGGTGAGGAAGGGTATGGTAGATAGAGTGAGGAGTTGGGGATGGCGGGTGGGGAGTGTAGGGCGTGTGGGAGGGTGTGTGTGGACTGAGGGGTTTTGGGGAGATGGTGTGTAGACTGAGGAGAGTTTGGGGGTCCAGGGAGATGGTGCAGTGTGGCTGGTATTGTTGTGTGAGAAGCTGTAGGGGGACTGAAGGAGCTGTTTCGGGGCCAGGAGATGTGATAGAGCTGTAGTTAAAGCTCCCTGCATCTGATGGCTGTGACAATGTAACTGTGTATAAATGGGCAGACACACTGCTCAGCCAATTATAGTCAACATGCTCCATGTTACCCCATGGGAGTTAGCTGCTCATCACGTATTTGTATGAGGGACATTCGCTGCCTGTTTTTTGGAAATGTGCAGATCAGTGTCTCACCAAAAGTACATTCAGGATCTTGGGTGGACAGTGGGCAGGGAAAATGCCCTTCTGAGTTCCATCTCCATTTTCACACCATATAACTCCAACTACTGCAGCTGGGTAAAACTCCGAGGGAACTCCACACAGGACTGACTCCTGGCTGTGCAGTTGCAGGGGGATGGAATTAGCAGTGGGATATGCTGCACTATGAAAAACATTGTCTTACTTAATTATCGAATATTTATCCATGGAAAGCAGGCCACATGGCCTGCAGTATTTATTAAATATTATTAATTCATTCAGTGGAGAAAACCTCATAAAATTGTCCATCCAGGTGTAAATGTTTACATCTCTGGCAAATGCTGAACCTCCTTTACATTGATCAAAAACAGTAATTCAATTGTTAGCTACTTTTCATTCTGTTTCTGCAGAGTCTGGCCACATACCAGCTGCTGCAAACTTGAACAGAAATAAACCTGACTTTGTCATTGACTTCAGAGGGAATTAGCCTCAGGGTGAGACTATTCAAGCTTTTAAAGGGGCAGCAGCAGAAAGATAATGCAGTTACATCTCACCCGTGTCATCATGCTCTCTCTACACTCAGTTCTGATGAAGAGTCACTGGACTTAGAGTCATAGGGATGCACAGCACAGAAACAGACCCTTCTGTCCAACTCATCCATGCCGACCAGAAATCCTAAATTAATCTAGTCCCATTTGCCAGCATTTGGCTCACATCCCTCTAAACCCTTCCTATTCATGTACCCATGCAGATGCCTTTTAAATGTTGTAATTGTACCAGCCTCCATTACTTCCTCTGGCAGTTTATTCCATACAAGCACCACCCTCTATGTGAAAAAGTTGCCCCTTAGCTCCCTTTTATATCTTTCCCCTCTCACCTTAAAGCTGTGCCTTCTAGTTTTGGACTTCGCCACCCTGGAGAAAAGACCTTGACTATTCATTTTATCCGTGCCTCTCTGCTTTCTCTCCATAGATGCTGCCAGACCTGCTGAGTTTCTCTAGCAATATCTGCTTTTTTTTCAGATCGTCAGCATCCACAGTTAATGTTATATCAATGCACCCCCTAATGGGTGAGCAGTGTGTTGCAAATTATGTGCCAGCATTATCAAACGCTCCATGATAAACTTTTTATTTTGCCGGTGTATATTCAGAGCAATGGTAACAGTACTTTCACATGACGCATGGTTGAGTCACAGCAAGTTGGAACACACTTTGGAAGGTGTGAATTACTGTGTGCAATATTTTTAGAGTCCATGCCCAATTCCTTTCCGTGCTATTTAAGAAGGTGGTTAACCTGCAAGATTAATGTCTTTCTTAATGAGTGCAGTCATCATTGTTTTACCCAGAAATGTAACCAGTCAGCTAATTCAAGAAGCATGCCACTTATGTTGAAGCTTAACAAATACTGTTGAGCTTGTGATTTTGTGATAGGACCAGCAATCAAGCAAAGTCGAGTGTTCAAATCCCACTATTGATAATTTGAGTCCAATTCGAATAAAAGCCAGAAATGCTTTTTTTTAAGTTGCTGGATTTTATTAAAATTTAAACGGAGGTTTGGCAGTTAACTGTTCAGTGGTGCATTTTCCAAGGCAACACTTCTAACAATCAGAGTCAACTTGCCAGTCAATTAGCACTGTCCTCTCAGGGCCACGTAAATTGTAATTCCCTTCAGGATTCTTTATTCTTGTGATTGGGTCCTGATGTGTACCAGATGGAACACTAATAGAATTCCCCTTTCTTGGAGCAGTTCTTTAAAATAAAAAAAAACGCTGTCCATTATAAAAATGACCATTTTAGACATCAGTGTTTTGTGAAAATAAAAACTAGTCCCACTGATGAATTAACATCCTTTGAGAATCATAGAATTCCTACAGTGCATAAAGAGGCCATTTTGCCCATCAAGTCCACATTGACCCTCTACCATCCTACACTGCCCCCGTAATTCTGCATTTGCCATGGCTAATCTACCTGGCCTGCACATCCCTAGACATTACGGGCAATTTAACATGGCCAATCCACCTAGCCTGCACATTCCTGGATACTATAGGCAATTTAGCACGGCCAAACCACCTCACCTGCACATTCCTGGACATTATGGGCAAGTTAGCATGGCCAATCCACCTAACCCGCGCATCATTGGACACTACAGGCAATTTAGCATGGCCAAGCCACCTAGCCTGCACATTCTTGGACATTATGGGCAATTTAGCATGGTCAATCCACCTACCCTGCACATTCCTGGATACTACAGGCAATTTAGCACAGGCGATTCACCTAGCCTGTACATCCCTGGATGCTACAGGCAATTTAGCATGGCCAATCCACCTACCCTGCA